TCTGGGAGTTGAAGTCCACTCATCTTAAAGTGGCCAAGTTTGGACAACACTGGTTTAGTCATTCCAATATTCTTTATCTAGCAGAAGACAGATCAGGATCTACTAGTAAATCTCTGGGCATCTATAATAAATTAGCTTAAGTTTCTGATCGACTTTCCCCCACTAGCAATAGCAACTATTAGAAAGGTCTATTGAAAAGAATGTGGGGAAAAATTAGGAATGAATATTTGTGCAAGAGAACTTTTGAACTTAGTTCTGATATTCATCACAAATTCCTGGACTGAATATACTGTATATAAAATACCCAGATCTATTGTGTACTTTATTTTTTAACATATATCTATTTATTCATACCATTATTTTGCATCTGAACTCTTTGGTGCAACTTCTGGATTCCGACCCCCCACCCCCAAAAAAAGCCCCAGTCATGAAGCATGTCCACTTCTTGTCTATTTTATGTAGCGGTGCATCTCTAGAATTGCTTGCTACCTTTTTTTTTAAACTGGAGATTCCCTGAACTGAATATAGAGTTCTGCATGCAAAGCAAAGCTTTTACCAATGAATTAAGCTTCTCCTGAAGAGGTGATTGTGAGCACTTCTATTTCTAAAGAAATTACAGTTTTACATATAGATCCAAGACATCACAGTTTATTAAATGGTCCAGTAAAAAAAACATTAAAATAAAATTATGGGTTCAGATCCTTTACATTTTACGAACTGCAAAACTGTCAATAGAGAAATAATGTTGCTTCATTGGCAGGGTTCCTGTCTGCATTTGGCCTCAAGACAGGATTTCTCACTGGCAGCTACAGGTCCACTGGATCTAATTCCCTTATCCTGCAGGCAAGACAGGAGGGATGTCACTGCACTGGATTCCAGATCTACAACAACCTGAGCTAATATGTGTTTTTTAAACAGGCCACTGGTATAGGCATGGGCAATTGCAGAAACCTCCTGCTGTTGTCAAAGTGATTAAAGCAGCATTGTTTTGCAAATTCTGCTCTCTTTGGGCATGCATTTTACCCTGATGGTGCAATGCTCCTTTCATCATTCATCCTTCTGGCTCCCCTGTAGCTGTGGCTGGGAACAGGCAGCGAAGAAAGCCATTTGATACCAATCACTCTACAGCACTGTTTCTCAACCCTAGCCACTTGAAGATGTGTGGACTTCAACTCCCAGAATTCCCTAGCCAGCTTGGCTGGCTGGGGAATTCTGGGAGTTG